TCCCAGTAGCCCTCCTCACCAGAAAAGTGTTCTTGCAATGTCCACAGATGACCCTGACACCCATGGGTTGTGGTTCTGGACTTAGAGGTCCTGGGTGTACAGGTCCCAGATTAATGATTCTTTTGCTGTACAAGGAAAAGACTATGTTTAAAAAGCTTTTAATCTTAAGGACCCCTACACTATCCCTCCTTCATACCCCCCACTCTGTGCCTCCCTATGTTCCTCTAGTTCGCTGTACATTTAACATACTCTGCAAAGAATCCCTGAGGAAGAGCACTGCTTTAACTACAGGTCTCTAACTTCCCTTTTATTTCAGGATAACTAACCCAGGCCCTGAAACACTCCATCTTCCTAAAGCATGCTGTTTCATCCCAGTCTTTTTATTGAGATGAGAAAGATGGCTATAACATTCTAGAAGCACAATAGTCCTTAGCTTTTACTTCTTCTAAATAAACACCAGGCTGTCTCACCTTGACATTCTCTATAAACATTCATCTTTTTGGGTTTTCCAATTTTCCTCACTGATGCCTCTTACCAGTAGGGTCGAGGACAGGCAATCCGCTGGGANCTTTCCTGATGCCTCTTACCAGTAGGGTCGAGGACAGGCAATCCGCTGGGAAGTCACTTTGCAGATAAGAAGACAGTTACACGGGCATCGAACATATTTTTTCCCTGGGGGTGCGTTCTTGATTGGCTAGAGAATAATGGAATATTGGTAAGCAAACCTCTAATCCCAATCCCGTTCATTTCCTCCAAAAACACCTTCTGAGGAAAGATCAGATAGATAAGGTCTTAGCCAAGACAGAGAAATGAAAGAAAGGCATACAGGGTAAGACTAGCAAATGAAAACCAGGCTTAAGTACCCAGGATAGGTATGAAGGTGAGGGATTGTAAACATTAGCTTTGGTGAGTGGTTTCTGGGGAAAGGGCTGTATGAGATTACTGAAATCTGAAGTGCACTGGTCAGGGTCTAGAATCAAGGAATCAGAAAGAGGATCTAGGAAACGGGCCCATTTATATATACGTATATGTATAACTCACGGTGGCTTCATTGCAGACGCCACATTTGACTACGTGCTGATGCATCTTGCCTTCCACGTTGATGAGCGACTGGCAGACTCGGCAGGTGATCATGGGGGCATTCCCACTGTCTGGGCTGGTCAAGGGTGAGTAGGGGGGTGGGTCATCCCCAGGCAACACGGCTGGGTGTCCCTCGGGGAACGGGGGAAATGCTGGGGAGGAAGGTAAAAAGAAGGGCTGGCATCACTTGCAGACACCCCCACTGATGCTCCACGGGGTCAGGGATCTGTTTCTGTTCCTCAACCCTTCTGACCAAACTCGGCGGGCTTCTTTCTTAGAGTCCGTACTTCAGCTTCCTCAGAAACCCCTTCCGTTTCCCAGCTCCGGTGGCGATTGAGGAGGAAGAAAGCCTCACCCTGTCACAAGTGCAACAGCTCCGCACCTGGCGCTCGGGCCCCGCCCTCCGCCCGCGGCCCCGCCCCCTCCCGCCTCTCGGAGCACCCCCGGGAACATCTCCGACCCACCCCGGCTTACCCTGGGGTGGGGCATGTTTACCGGCTCCGTACGGTGGTGCTGAGGGGGTCAGGCCTCCCCCGGGCCCAGCCCCACTCCCGCCTGGCCCCGCTAGTCCGTTGCCGCCGGCGCCGCCGTCAATGGGCTCGGAGAGCAGCGGAGACCGCTCTCCATCCGCCGCCATGGCCGTCACCACCGCCTTCAGCTTCGGCCAAGGATCCGNNAGGATCCGGCTCCAGTCGCCGCAGCCACGGCCACCGCCGCTACCGGGTCCCCAGGGCGCCTGCGCGCCCCGCGCCCAGCTCGCCCCGCAACCAGTGGCCTACCCCGCCCCGGCCCGGCCCGCAGCACGTGATAGGCTACCCCCGCCCCCGCC